CAATATTTTATATTTAATCACTGAACCGACTTTACTATTGTTACTATTTTCAATTCATTTAATCTGCGCATTGGGATGTAACGATACAAGTAAATACAAGTGCATACTCGATACATTACTTTAAAATCCGAGGGTTTTTGGTATCGATACTTTTGGCCCAAGCACCGAGTATTTATCGAAAGGAGGTACTCTAAAGTAGCCATTACACGTGGGAAGTGCAGGACATTCTCTAAAGTCTGTCAAGTCAGTACAAAATTGCAGCGAGAGCGTAAAAGCAAAATAGAGCGTAAAATTGAGAAGAGAAATCTAGCATAAAAAGTTATTGAACACAAAACTAGTAAAAATTGCAAGTGAACAGTTGTGGAACTCATTTGACATTTCTGCTGTAAACATTTTACAATTTATAAAACAGTTTTAGGGCCGGTTACTCAATGTCTGGTTAACACTAATCTCCGGTTAAACATAGTTATCGACGTTACCGACTCCCTGTTATATGCATGGAGTCGAAGTCGTCGATAACGATGTTTAACCTCCGATTAGTGTTAACCAGACATTGAGTAACCGGCCCTTATATTTTAAAATATCGGAAAACATTTTTTTAACCTCTTATATCTTCTTTACTTTTTATTTGCCGCAAATAATATTTAGATAAAATCAGCGTAAAAAGTACTATCGGTCTGCATTTTTAGTTTTCCCATAGCGAACGGTTGGTTATCTTGATGTGTTCCAAAATTAGTCAAGAAACATTTCCATGTTTTTCAAAACATCGGTGATTTGATTTATCATCGGATTCGTAAAAACATCGACGAACATCGATGTGTGAAGCCACGACCAGTGATCGGACTTCTACCACATTGTGATAGATCTGCCACTTTTTTGAGCTCTACTCATCTACCACACAAGGTCTGAAATCTACCAAGAACGATAGAATACAAGATTGCGCATTCCCGCAGAATGACACTTGTGGCAACGGGTAAACAAAGAATATGGCGAAGAACAATGAGTTGACAGTTGTGAATTTTCTGTGAGAAAACGTGTTCTCTTCTCGATTCACCAATTTCTCAAGCCATCTTTGAATATAGCAGTTTAAGCACTACGTTAACAAAAAATATACAACCACTCTTGAAATGTGTTCAAAAGAATAGGTCTTATAATTAACTATTTAGAATTTTTATGTTTGTATTGCAGGTGCCGAAAAAGTGATAATATCTTGTCGCAGCGCATGTTTGTGAAAGTAGCAAATTTCAGTGCATTTAAAGTTTCAAAAGCGTTGTTACTTTTACTTGAGAATTATCAAAATCGGCAAATCCCAAGTAGCGGTTTCTGGAATGTGCCATATTTGGTCGCTACATCGTGATGTGATAAAAAGAAAAGCTGGCAGCACTCCGTAAGGTTGCAGAAATCTTCCAAAATATGTTCGAAAAATATCTTGATATGGAAGGAACTGCTTTACACTGACAAGAAAATTCCCAAAACTCAACGCAATTTTTAGCATTTTCAATCATGCACTTTATTATGCTAAAATTAATTTTTTCTAGATTCTAATAAAAGTATTTGCACTTTAGGTGAAACCTTGCAGCATTTTTTTAATTTTTGTACAAAGTTTGATCCAAAACCTGAGATCTACCATATTTTTTTGAAATCTGCCACATTTTTTTCTAGATCTACCACAATTTTTGGAGTCCGATCACTGGCCACGACCATCGATGTTGCTCGATACTCGATGTTTTTTACATCCTAGTCTACTTTTGGTTATTTTCATTCTCATTTACAATCAAAGCGAATTAATGGCGGATAAGTTACCAGCGATTGTGCCACCTTCTAAACCATTCCCTGGTAGATTTCGGGCCTTAAACTTTTTATATATTCCGTATTATAAAAGCGTTATTTGGTAGATCTATCTAACTTTCTTAAACAAAACCATGTACAATGCATACACAAGTTATTTTAGTCGTCATGTATTAATTGTTTTTATTATAGGTTCGCTTACACCCGGTTGGAACGATCCGCCTCCTATAAATGATTCTCGCCCGGCTGGCCGCACGAAACTCAACTTAAACAAGAGAATCGCTTTTCCCGTGCAAACCGAAAGAATTGAGCAGGGGCCTCCCCTAACAAGCTTTGGACAGTCGAATATACCACCAGTGGGCAATATTCCACCGCCGCCTTCATTGTTGACACATTCATCTCAAGGTTTACACACAGCAAATCCTGGGCAATAATCTGTCAACGTAGCCACTTGGTAAGAATTACTATTCCAGAGACCATTTGTGTATAAACTTTCAAGTAATTATTTAAATATTGCTTGTAAATTAACCATAATTTGATAAATATTTAAGAAATGTTATTAATTGAATAAAGGTTAATCTAACAATTAATTAAGAAATATCTTTAATACCAAAAGAATGGACTGCAATATTCTGAAAAGCGCCGAATGCCTCAGGAATGACAGAATACATCGCTACATAGGTGTGGAGTAGGGATGACCGAAGTTTGGCTTCCGAAAAGTATCTGGTAGTTCGAGGCTGGCACCTTTCCAGCTTGAAAGAACGAAGACCAAATAATTTAATGGCATGCTTCTCTTTGTCCCTTGAGTACAGGGCACTCAGAAGAACTTCCTCACTCTTCTTCCGGCAACACAAAAGAGAATTCTGCTTAGTAAGGTTTGTGATCCCTAGGCGCGACCGAGGGCCTGAGCAGATTAGATGCAGATGTGCGCAACGAGTGCCCGGCATGCGGAGAGATGCCCCACGGCTCGAGACATCACTTCGCATGCTCACTAAACAAGCCTCGTAGAAGCTGCACGCTTCCTGGATATCCCGTTAGCTGAGCTTGACGATAACGATTGAGGGACTAGCCGATCTAAGCAGGGTTGAGTAGCCGCTGCAACAGCAGCAAGGAGGGTGTTCAGCGCAAAAATACCGTGTTCAGCGTAGGAGGAGTGAGCTGATAACGGTTCATTTTTGGTCCCAGCAAAAAAGTGAAAGAAAAGCGTTTAAAAATTGACAGAAATTTTATTTACCGGTTACAAAACTTTTATTACCAGCGCAGATTAGACCTGTTAAAGCCCAGTTATGCATACTTGCACTGCTATACCATTTTTACGTAAAAATCGAATCAACAGAATTCTACATGTCTGATTAGCACAAATCGGAGGTAGAAGTTCCGGTTAAGTACAACGACTGCTTTATCGATCACATGTTACGTGCATGATGTCGAAATCGTCGATAATGTAGTGGTAGTGATAACCAAACATTGCATAACGGCCCTAATCATCGGTTAACATCGTTATCGACGTTTTCGATTCCATGCATACAACAGGGAGTCGGTAACGTCGATAACAATCATCTTATGAGATGGTAACAAAATTTACCGGTTACGAGAGTAGCGAGAATGCGAAAAGGGTTTAAAAATTGACAGGAACTTTATTTACCGGTTACAATCTTTTTATTACCAGCGCGGAATAGACCCGTAACAGGTCTATTTTGCACGTTACCGAAGATTTTGTAACCGGAAAATTGTATTACCAAAAAATGTTACCAGTGCTTGCCACCGCGATTCTAGGTACGTTGGTAATGCAGTTAAAATATTCAGCAATTCAGCTATGAAGAATTGTGCAAATTCTGGCATTGCATATTTCACGGGGCAATACTTTGTTACCAGCTTATGAGATGGTAACAAAATTTACCGGTTACAAGAATACACAGAATGCGAAAAGGGTTCAAAAATTTACAGGAACTTTATTTTACCGGTTACAATCTTTTTATTACCAGCGCAGAATAGACCTGTTAACATTGGGTCGGTAACGTCGGTAACAATGTTTATACAATGGTAAAAAATTCGTATCCATTGTTGCCAGATTATAAAGAGGCAATAATATGACCATGGAAAAAAAATATTAAACTTCTATGTAAAAAAATTCACTCATACTTTGTATGGAGAAAAATGCGTAGATCCGTCTGCAAAAAAATATTAGAAATCAACGCAAATCCTTAGCTACTATAAATTTGGACATTAATGATAATAGATTGGCGCTTACATATATGTATGTTAGTGTGTGGCCGAGCTTCTACTTCGATTTTGTGGCATGCGGCTTGATAGCGCACACAAATAGGATGGACCTACGATGGACACCTATTACACATTATTATACAAAATTCGATGGGCTACACAAAGTTTAAAGATTTGATAAAAATTCGTTGAACTTTCCTAAATTTTGTATAAAGTTTGATACTTTGATTTAAGTATATGGTTGTTTTTATGAAACATATTTTTGTAAAAATAAAAAAAGTTTAGCTTGTTAATATTTAAAAAAGAATAGGTGCACGCAGATATATATTTATATGTATGCAGGCAAGTGTATGTTTATAACACACATGAGTTTTACATACTTTGGCCAACTTTTTTACCTTGACACTACGGAAAACCCAAAAACACTCCACTTTTTGGCTCATTTCACTCTGCTCGAAAATTATAAAACGGCAACGCTGATGTTGGTGTTATGTCGAATCCATGGACGAGACACAAGATCACGTAAGAACAAGAGAGTGAAAAAAGTCGATTTTTTTAGCGGGATCTACGCCATCTTGTTTAACTGGAAAACGAGCGAAAAGTAAACAAAGCAAAGAAAACAAAGAAAACAAAAATTAGCCAAAATTTATGTTCAGCCACTTTAAACGCACAATTTAGGTAAAATGATGCATCAAAATGCTTTAAAATGTGTTGTCATGTTGAATTAACTCTTCTTTACTTGAAAATGTAAAATAGTGGTGCTTGTGATGTAAACAAACGCTCAGCTGACGAACCCGCTTTCGCAAACTTTTTTCTCAAAACCAGTTACAAATACAACGTCGCGTTCTTACGTGATCTTGTATTTTTGGTTCATGCCTGGCAGCACTGCTTCGCCTTGGAATTCGTCTCGTTCGCCGCAATTGTTTGAAAAATTGAAACTTCAAGCGTCGTTTGTGTGGGTTCTNGCGTTCTTACGTGATCTTGTATTTTTGGTTCATGCCTGGCAGCACTGCTTCGCCTTGGAATTCGTCTTGTTCGCCGCAATGGTTTGAAAAATTGAAACTACAAGCGTCGTTTGTGCGGGTTCTGTTTGTGTATAATAATAGTCCATAAAATAAATATAGCTTTCCAAAGTTTTGCAAAGGAAGTTAAATCCTGCCAATTTGCACTAGTCTCTGCAGGAAAGCGTCACAATTGATATGTCACATGAGGTTGATCAAAATAATACCCCTGCTGTCCGGGTGATTGTGCGCGAAAGGCCCGCTCGAGATTTGCAAGATCCGAAAGAGGGGGAAACAAGTGTGATTTCCTACCACGAATGCAGTGCTAATGTGAGAATCTTGGAAAAAGTTAACATTTGTAACAATTTGGTACTTTTAGATATTAATAGCAGATGGCAGGCCTTTTATTTTCGATAATTTGTTGGTCCCAACGGCTACTCAGGAAGAATTATTTCTCCATGTCCGTCCCCTGGTTGGCAAGGTAAAAAATGGGTATAATTGTACTGCTTTAGCATATGGACAAACAGGAACTGGAAAATCTTATTCGATGGGACTCAGCTCAAACGTATGTATCCGGCAGTTTATTAGTATGAGTTTCAGTGGTATTTAAAAACAACTTTTGTAGTCTTCCGAAGGTGAGCACGTAGGAATTATACCTAGGTGTTTGTTGGAGATATTGAAGACAAATGTGAATGAAGATGTTTCCAGAGCAGACAATAGTTTAATTCCAGAAATCGCATTCGAAGTGCATGCGTCTTTTATTGAAATTTATAACGAAAAGGTTTTTGATTTGCTGGGCGAAAACACTGCGGAACCAATTATATCGCGCGGTTAGTACTGCAAGTGTCTTCACACAATTTTACTTACACTATTTTCTTTAGGATACAAATATACTGGTGGCACCCGAAAAGTTCTAAAAACAATCGACGATTGCTATAGTGTTCTCCAACAAGGCAATAAAAATCGGCATGTGAGACCTACTAAAATGAATACCCAAAGTTCACGATCACATGCGATTTTTACGATCCATGTACGCAGTGCGTCAGAAAAGGGCGATCTTAACACTAGATTGAACTTAGTCGATTTAGCAGGTTCGGAGGGAGTGCGTAGAACGGGCCATCAAGGTGTTGCTATGTCAGAAGGTGTTAACATTAATCAAGGCCTTCTATCAATCGGTAAGGTCTTACAAGCAAAGGCGCTCGGTCATAAAGTAATCCCTTATCGAGACAGTGTTTTAACTTCAGTTTTGCAAGGTAATTTTTGATATAAATTGCAAAAGAAAAAATACACATTTTTCAAATTTTCAGATTCACTTAACGAAAACTCTTTTCTAACATTACTGGCTTGCATTAGTCCACACCGAGCTGATTTGACAGAAACTTTGTCAACACTCCGATTTGCACAAAGTGTGAAGCAATTAAAACATTCGCCGCACATTAACTTAATAAAGGCAGAATCAAAGGTAATTGGATTTTATCATTATATTAAAATGTCCCAGGTTTCAAGTACGGAAAGGCATTCTGTCCTGAAACTTAAGTACATGTACGCTTTTGTCAGTAGAGGATTTCCCTTCAAATTATATATGTATTTTATTTATTAGCAATTTTATTTTATGTATCCAAAATTAATACAATCAATTACAACATCGCGCATTCGTTTACCGTATGTAGCCACATTCGCCTCAGAAAGAAGACCAGACTCTTTTAGATCTCTTGATTTGCCTTTTTCAACTTGTTCACTAAGTTCCTCTAAATTCGGTACGTCATCACCTTTAATTGTAATGATTGGGAGCACAATCATTGCAAATATAAGACCCACTGCTCCTATTCTATGTAGCTCTTTTTCGAATATTTCTCGTGAAAATAATTTGGACGGATTCGATCCCAGCCTGTGCATAAAATAGATGACAACAGTTCTTGAACTTAGAAGAAAGACTATGATAAAAAACTGAATTTAGAAAATAAAGGTAAAGGTAATTAAATTGTGCACTTCCATTGCATCACATACTTCACTTTTTTAATTCAGTANTCAGATTCACTTAACGAAAACTCTTTTCTAACATTACTGGCTTGCATTAGTCCACACCGAGCTGATTTGACAGAAACTTTGTCAACACTCCGATTTGCACAAAGTGTGAAGCAATTAAAACATTCGCCGCACATTAACTTAATAAAGGCAGAATCAAAGGTAATTGGATTTTATCATTACATTAAAATGTCCCAGGTTTCAAACACGGAAAGGCATTCTGTCCTGAAACTTAAGTACATGTACGCTTTTGTCAGTAGAGGATTTCCCTTCAAATTATATATGTATTTTATTTATTAGCAATTTTATTTTATGTATCCAAAATTAATACAATCAATTACAACATCGCGCATTCGTTTACCGTATGTAGCCACATTCGCCTCAGAAAGAAGACCAGACTCTTTTAGATCTCTTGATTTGCCTTTTTCAACTTGTTCACTAAGTTCCTCTAAATTCGGTACGTCATCACCTTTAATTGTAATGATTGGGAGCACAATCATTGCAAATATAAGACCCACTGCTCCTATTCTATGTAGCTCTTTTTCGAATATTTCTCGTGAAAATAATTTGGACGGATTCGATCCCAGCCTGTGCATAAAATAGATGACAACAGTTCTTGAACTTAGAAGAAAGGCTATGATAAAAAACTGAATTTAGAAAATAACTTGGTTCTTAACAATGTAAAGGTAATTAAATTGTGCACTTCCATTGCATCACATGCTTCACTTTTTTAATTCAGTGCNACGGAAAGGCATTCTGTCCTGAAACTTAAGTACATGTACGCTTTTGTCAGTAGAGGATTTCCCTTCAAATTATATATGTATTTTATTTATTAGCAATTTTATTTTATGTATCCAAAATTAATACAATCAATTACAACATCGCGCATTCGTTTACCGTATGTAGCCACATTCGCCTCAGAAAGAAGACCAGACTCTTTTAGATCTCTTGATTTGCCTTTTTCAACTTGTTCACTAAGTTCCTCTAAATTCGGTACGTCATCACCTTTAATTGTAATGATTGGGAGCACAATCATTGCAAATATAAGACCCACTGCTCCTATTCTATGTAGCTCTTTTTCGAATATTTCTCGTGAAAATAATTTGGACGGATTCGATCCCAGCCTGTGCATAAAATAGATGACAACAGTTCTTGAACTTAGAAGAAAG